TGTGTCACAGCATCCAGTACAGATCAGGAGAGAAGCGGTACATGCTAGTTGGACCCAGAATGAGTATAGGATCTACTATAGTACCAGGAAGTCACGCAAATACTCTTGTGCTTCCTGATAGGAGACGTCCTTCTGAAGAGGTAAGAGCTTAAAAGTGTGATGTCACATGTTTTTGTGCATTCTTTTCCATCAATTTGACTTTTTATATCATCTAAATTTTCTTTTCTTTTTTGATATCACAATTCTAAAGTATCATACCTAAAGACTACAGTGCTCACACTAAAGTTAGTTTCATTGACATATTGGTCACGACAAATGGTGATCCATAATGCTTCTACTGAATCAAATATGGGTCTAGGTAATGCGGGCAATCCTCATGAAAAACCTATGGAATTGCACGTTACCAGATATCTTGCATGCTACTTTGCTGAACGACACTTTTTTTCTTAAATCAAATATGTGCTGCTGAATAGTGTTGGTCCGGGGTGATCCTCTTTATTCAGAAGCGGGTTAAATAACATCTTCTGAGATAATCAACATATGGAACAAAATTTAAACCCCCGATAACGTGTTTAATTGTTGGAATAACGGTTTCTTTTTAAACACTGTAATTTATGACTCTATCCTTCTCCAGTAACCTCTGGGTGTCAGTATTACATTGACAAACTGGAGACCACTTTGCCCATCCTCTCACAAAGCTTTTGTTTGCCACTGCTATAAGCAGAGAAGACGCTTGACTCGAGCTCGCAATCTTTCCAAATCGCGCTTTATACATTATATACAACAGGCAATGAGCTAGGTAGTCCAAACATTGTTTTTAAATCTGTTGTTTGATTACAATGGAGAACGAAAAACGAAGTCGTGGAAGGAATGGGGTCTGGTTTATTCTCCATGTAGCTTTGCTGCTGTTTGTCGGGAAAGGGGCTTCGGCAGAAATAAGATACTCTGTTGCAGAAGAGGTGAAAGATGGAACTGTTGTCGGAAATGTTGCAAAGGATCTCGGTCTTGATATCAGCTCTTTGACCAGCCGGCGGTTCCGTGTTGTGTCTGAATCCAAGGATGCGTTTTTTGATGTAAACCAGGACAACGGGGATCTATATTTGTTTAAGAAAATCGACAGAGAGGAGCTATGCCTGGGCAGTGGGGCATGCATAATGGAGTTAAAAATTATAGCAGAAAACCCTTTGGAAATACACTACGTAGTTGTAGAAATTATTGATATTAACGATCACTCCCCTGTTTTCCCCGAAAAAGAACAGAGGTTTGAAATTTTTGAACAAACCATGGCAGGAAGACGATTTCAGCTGCACACTGCTCGGGACCCAGATTCTGGAATTAACGCAATTCGTACATATACTTTAACCTCAAACGAACATTTTGAAGTAACAATCCGACAGAGCGATGAGGATATAATACCATTTTTAGTGCTGAAGAAATCGTTGGATAGAGAAAAAATCAACAAATACACGTTAACTGTCACTGCAGTTGATGGAGGAAAACCTCCGCGATCAGGCACCATAAATGTTACTATAATCGTTCTTGACACAAATGACAACCGTCCAACATTTAGTCAAGAGAGCTACCAAATAGAAATAGATGAAAATGTTCAAGTAGGGACTTCAATATTTAGAATGAATGCGACAGACCCAGATGAAGGTTCCAGTAGTGAAATTGTATACAGCCTTGGAAAAACACTCAAGAAAAAAGTCTATGATATATTTGAACTGGATAAAATAAGTGGGGAAATAAGAATAAAGGGAATAGTGGACTATGAAGAAAACGACGTTTATAAACTGGATATCGAGGCATCAGATAAAGGAACACCTCCATTAACCGGTGAGTGCAGATTAATTATAAAAATAAAAGACATCAATGATAATCCGCCAGAAATTGAAATCACATCGCTCTCAAATACAGTGTCTGAGGATTCAAAGCCCGGCACAATGATTTCACTCATCAGTGTGCGAGATAAAGATGCTGGTGTGAATGGGAAAATTATTCTCAGCCTAACCTCAGGCTTACCTTTTGAATTAAAACCATCATATAAAGAGAACGTTTATTCCGTTGTCACTAAAGATCTTTTGGACCGAGAGGAGGTATCTCAATATGAATTGACAATAAAAGCGACCGACTGTGGTGAGCCCCCTTTATCTACTTTTAAAACTTTGAACATTCATGTAGCAGATGTAAATGACAACAGACCACATTTTCCTATAAATCCGCTACACTTTTACCTGTTTGAAAATAACGTTGCTGGGAAATCAATATTCTCCGTGAGCGCAGTGGACAAAGACTTAAGTGACAATGCAGCCATTTCATATCGCATTGTGAAAGAGGGGAGCCAAAATGACATTATGTCATTACTAAGTATAAACAGTGATAACGGACACATTTCCACGCTGAAAAGTTTTGATTTTGAAACGCTGAAAACTTTCCAGTTCCAAGTTGTTGCGTCAGATTCTGGAACTACTAAGCAACAACGTCACAGTCAACGTCTTCATCCTGGATCAGAACGACAACGCTCCAGTCATCCTGTATCCACTAAGCTCCAACGGTTCTGCTCAAGGTGTGGAGGAGATTCCCCGAAACGTCAACGCAGGACACTTGGTGACTAAAGTCAGAGCCTATGACGCTGATATAGGATATAACGGCTGGTTGCTCTTTTCACTGCAGGAAGTGACTGACCACAGTCTCTTTGCTTTGGACCGCTATACAGGACAGATCAGAACACTTCGCTCATTCACAGAGACAGACGAGGCTGAGCATAAACTGCTCATACTGGTCAAAGACAACGGCAACGTTTCTCTCTCAGCAACAGCTACTGTGATTGTCAAACTTGTGGAGCCCAAAGAGGCTTTTGCAGCTTCTGATGTTAAAAGTGCAGCAAAAGATAATGAGGACAGTAATGTCATATTTTATCTGATGATAACTTTGGGCGCAGTTTCTGTACTTTTTCTCGTCAGTATCATCGTGCTGATCGCAATGCAGTGCTCCAAATCCACAGACTATACTTCTAAGTATTTACAAGAAGCAAATTATGATGGGACACTGTGTCACAGCATCCAGTACAGATCTGGAGACAGGAAGTACATGTTAGTTGGACCCAGAATGAGTATAGGATCTACTATAGTACCAGGAAGCCATACAAATACTCTGGTGATGCCAGACAGAAGACGGCCATCTGAAGAGGTAGGATAAATTCATGATGATTATTTTAATGCAATTGCCTAATTTTGCCTCACCTATTGGATAATCTTTACGACTCCCTGTCGTTTTTTTAAGATAATGGAAGTGCTGGCACGTGGTATTGGCGAGGCATCTTAGTAGTTTTGAGTGATGTCCTTCTATTTTTGTTGTAAATGTGTTAGCAATGTTACCACTAAACATATTTTGTATTCCTGCCCACGATACCGACGTGGTTATTGATCATCGAAAAGAGAGAGCACGCTGTTGTTATTGATGTGATTTTAAGACTTTTCCACTGTCCATGGTGCTGAAAAGCTCTTACTAAGGTATTTAACTATGCTCGGTTATCACAGGACACTGAAGCTCTTTAACTACTACATTACAGAGTTAGTGCTTGTGATGATGCCCTAGGATATTTTTGCCTTGTCACACGGATAGTCATTTGAATAAAAAGTTTAATATATTAAATTACAAAAGTTTCTGTTTAGTCGAATCTGTTTTCCCCATTTCCTACTAAATGTAAGCGCTGAATGATCCTGTGGGTGTCAGTGTTACTATAAGGAAGTGCAAAATTCCACTCAGCCCCTTGTAATGTGTGCGTTTTCACCTCGGCCACGAAGAATATCAACGTTTGGGGTTTCGCCTGTGTATTTTTCTTTTCACGAAAACGGATGTCTGGAGTAAAATCTCAGGAAAACTGGATGATTACTAAGTGGAAAAATACGTGTGGATTTTATTACATATGATTTTGCCAAAGGACAAAGAGGCAGAATGATAACTTGGCCGCATCCTCTGGTTTTCGCCGCGCTCTTCTGTTGTGTGGAGGTGATTTTAGCTCAGATTAAATATTCGACTCCAGAGGATGTTAAAGTGGGAGCTATTATTGGAAATGTTGCCAAGGATCTGGGGCTCGATGTCGGTACACTGATAAGCAGGCGTTTTCGTATTGTGTCTGGAGCCCAGGGTACGCTGTTTGAGGTAAACCCGAACAATGGGGCGTTGTATGTTCACGAAAATGTGGACAGGGAACAGCTGTGTGATAGAAATGATGCCTGTTTGTTAGATCTAAAAATTGTTGTTGAAAACCCCCTTGAAGTCCACTATGTTACTGTTGAAATAATAGATACTAACGACAATAGACCCAGTTTTGCTGAGAAAGAAAAGGTAATAGAAATAGCAGAGACCACACTGCCAGGAGCACGATTTCAGTTACCAGGCGCTCGTGACCGAGATGTCGGAGTCAATGCGGTGCAGATTTATAAACTCAGTCAAAACGATCATTTTCATCTTGAAATTCGAGACAGAGGGGAAGATAAAATCCCTTTCCTCGTACTGCAGAGAAACTTGGACAGAGAGCGGAAAACAAACCATAGCTTGATTTTAACCGCTATGGATGGGGGGACGCCGCCAAAATCCGCAAATCTGAGCCTTACTATAAAGGTTCTTGATATCAACGATAACAGACCAGTATTTTCTCAAGAGGTTTATTCCGTTACATTGCAAGAAAATGCCCCATTAGACAAGACTATAATCAAAGTCCAAGCAACAGATCTAGACGAGGGTATTAACGGGGACGTCGAGTATACTTTTGGGGGTGATATTACTTCCAGTGTGTTGCGACTATTTACTTTAGACAGACTCACGGGAGAAATTCGAGTTATCGGAGAAATTGATTATGAGACAGCCAATGTTTACAATTTAGATGTCCAAGCCTCAGATAAAGGTCAGCCGCCGATGACGACTGATTGTAGAATTATAATAAGGATTCAAGATGTCAATGACAATAAACCAGAAATAGAAGTGACTTCAATATCCAGTATAGTCCCCGAGGACTCAAAACAGGGTACCGTGGTCGCTCTCATTACTGTTGCAGATGCTGATTCTGGTTTAAATAGCAAAGTCATATGTCATCTAACAGAAAATGTACCATTTGAATTAAAACCGTCATTTAAAGAAAACATGTACTCGTTAGTAACAA